TTTTGAAAGAACTCAATAGCATTCCGCTGAATCATTTGATGATAGTGTCAGGACTAGTCACACTTGATTAGCACTACAATATATTTTCCTATTACTTGTATTACTCTTCAATAACTTTATCTCAAATCTCATATAATTCGTACGAATAAAATTAGGAATGAATAGAGTCATTATCCTTGAGCACGAATACTTTGGCTTCCCAAGATAAAAGAATTACAGTATTTAATGCGAAACTGTCGTAAGTTTTGGCTTCCTTATCGTGTTTCGTTATAATTACATCAGAAATGTTCACCGCCTCAGTTATTCCGAGAAGTCATACTATTACAAATTGTATTTGTTTGCGTGTTCCTCCACTATAACACAAAATAAGATAAATAACTAGATGCACTGAGATCAAGAAAATAAATATTTCAAATAATAAATTCGAAACATATACATCTCCCTTTTCTATTTTCTATGTAATAGAATATCTCGAATGACTTTCGAAAACAACACATTCTCTGGTTAATGTCACGAAGGTCATTATTAGATGATATCAGACAGACATTTGTGCAAGTATTCTTACAAAGGAAATTTCTGAAGAACAACTTCTTCGTCTATGAACTGGTTGGAAAATTCTTATTTTATATTGCATTGGAACTTTGGAAGAAGAGAATTTCAAATCGAAATGTTGATTTTCTTGAAATATATTTGATTTTTTATTATGTATGTGCGATTGAATCGAAGGAAAGTCTCAGTGTCTGTAAGATTATTCATGATGTTCAGTACCTTAATCAATATAAATGAAATATGTGAATTAATTGTTCCCAACATATTTTTCAAAACTATAATACAGTGCATTTTCTTATGCCCACTTTTATTTTTTGAACGGGTCAACTCAAAAAATTGAAATTTGGAATAACGAAATTATCGCATGAATACTTCATTTTGAAGTGAAATTGACAGATGAAACTTTCAAGATGGCGACTGGGCGCCATCTTGATAGGGGGGTCTTGTGACAAATCTTTTTGAAGCTCCTGACAAATGCTTAACAACCCTAGAATATATCAATATCTTCAACTACTACAAAATGGCGGAACTTTTATTAATTTCCTGAATACATTGATATTTAACTACATAATAAGGATGTCCAGAACACGTGACCAATTCTCGAACAATATGGCCGCCTGTAGGCACACTATGAGTACAATGATATTGGGGTTTTTTCTTGTTTTGTTATCTTTGGAAGCTGTGAAAATAATTATGATGGCTGTTTGTAATAAAAGTGTTCATTTACTAACATTGGAAGTGAAAACAAATACATTGCTGTATAAATCAGAGTGATACAGTGCATGTATAAATCAGAGTGATACAGTGCATGGATTCGATACAGTGCATGGATTCTTTTACTTTCACTTCAGAAGAAATGAACAGTTCTATAGAATGTTTTCCACCAGTTACTGCTTTCGATATGAGTTCTTATCTGGTGCTAACTCATAGTTTCTATAAAAATCAGCAGCAGCTACAAATATTTTGAAGCTGGATTTGTACATGATTGTGAAGCAAAGTCAATCGGAGAGCACATTGTTGTGATTGCCAAGGTATTTAGATATTTTTCAAACTTGAATAATTCATAATTTTCTCTGAATATGTATCTTAATTTTAGGTCAAGCATTCACAGAAGATGAACAATCCCCCACTGCAAGTCTGGATTATATTCGAGAAATATGGTGCAATAATTTCAGCTCATTGTACCTGCATGGCAGGCCATTCTGAAGTTTGCACTCACGTTGTATGGCCTGGAATATATCAATCAATTCAATATATCAACCAATTATAGAGTGCTGAATGCTGAATTTTATCTTATACCTATTCTTTCCAATGTTTTTTTATTTCTTGTTAACTGATTTTTGACTGAAGAGAAATCACTTTTTTAAAATAACCACTTTTGTGGATCATTTGTTCAATGTGTATTGAAACTGACTTCCTAGTCTGAAAGGGAGAATAAACAAAACAATGTGACCTTATTTTGTGTTTTATTGAATTAATGTATTTCTGAAAAAATATTCTATATACTAACGAAACCTAGTTTCTGACATACGTACCAATTGAATATACCAAAAATTTATTATAATTCAGCTCTATGATCTGAAATATGATTTTGCAATAATACAATACGATAAAACATATCACGACAGTTGGAACAAAAATACAAATCTAGACTGAGTAGATACAATTTACAAAAACAATTTCATGAGGTTTTTTATTATTGCTGGGCAGATATTAATCAATCCACAACACACAATCACTATTTTATCCAAGATCGTATCATCTTCACTACAAACAAGCAGAGAATTTGGCACATAATCCGATAGAATCCTATATTTTCGACGAATGCAACTTACTACTCTTTTTACATGAATCCTGACATGTGCAATAGCTCTAGTTGCTTCTAATTTCTAATTCAATTGGATGCAACTGCTTCTTTCCTTTGGTAAAAGCAGAAATTCACTAGGTATTTTGTAAAAGTTCACCGATCACGATCCCCATAGCTTTCGCAATTCACAACAACACGTTATAGGTCTGATTTTATGTTATGAAGGACGATTGATATGTAAAATAAGCCTCAGACAACGAATTTTAGCAAGCAGCAACAAAATCACTCACAAAGACAAGTTGATTATGGACTTTTGTAGTTTTATTTCCATCAGAACAAACAACATGTCGTGTGCCTACAGGCGGCCATTTTCATTTAATTTTGACAGCATCTCGGACAGGTCTATTATTACCTCATTACCTCATTACCTCATGGTAATGAGATTGAGGTCAGTTCCGAAGATGCTCGAAATAGTTGCCATGAACATCTTGACATATAAACAGCCTATCCGATATTTCACGGCGATCATTTTCGAACACAGTAACGTCAATATCTCTACAAATATTATTATATTATTCTCTGCCGTATATCCAATATTGAAGCAGGTTTAGTTTCATACACCTTTTGCTTCATATATCCCCATGAAAAAGTCCAAAGGTGTCAAATCTGGCGAGCGAGCTGGTCATTCTGTAGGACCTCGACGGCCAATCCAACGACCGGAAAAAGTAGTATCCAAATAGTTTCTTACTTGTCTGGAGTAATGTAGTGGTGCTCCATCTTGTTGGAATCAATATCCATATCAAATTCATTAGGATTCACTTCGACAATTTCAGTGATGAGAGGGTCAACAGTAGATTCCAGCATATCCAAATACGGAGGTCCTATAATATGGTTTTCCAATATTCCTGCCCAAACGTTATTTTTTTCTGAATATTGGGTGTCTTCCGGAAAACGTGAGGGTTGGTGAACGGCAATTTTATCTGTGAACATTGCCGTTTGAGAAAAATATACTTAGGTACTTTTGTCACTAAAACAAATATTGTGGAGATAGGTGGGATGCTTTGCAATGGTTTCCGTCATGATTTCTCAGAATTCTGTTTTTCGATCAGGGTCATCTTCAGTTAATTGGTGTACCATTTTAATTTTATATGGATGATACCTATTCCTCTTCAAAAGTAGAAGGAGAAACCTCACAAACATTCGCGACGAAATAATTATACTGTTCAGGGTTCACTACCATCGCACTAGCATGCACTTGCTGTTCTTCCGGAATGGACGGATGACCTGGGGGCTTTTTGTTATGTACGCTACCGTTAGTTGTGAATTTGGATACAAGTTCCCTCAAATATTTTCTACAGATAGGACGATTCGGACAAAGTTCATTGAAAATCCTTTCGGTCTCGTGAAAGTTACGCGTCGCACCGTAAATAAAAATCGCTTCAATTTTTCCTTCCAATGGACGAGAATTGACCATTTTAGAGATTGTTGACGTGGTACCTTTTTACTAGTAAAACCGAAAAGTAAATGAGAATATTCTAACTCAACAATGATGTTCATTGTCGTACTGACATTTTTTGTCATTTTTATAAACAAAAAATAACTTAACAAATCTTATCGGGTTGTTGGAATTGCCATATGGCAGATAAAAAGGAATATTTCTAGAAATATCGATATTAATGTGCTTAACGATGAGATTGGAACCTTTGGTGTGAAAGTTGAATAACTTTTTTCGAGATCAATAGCCCTAACACCACATTTCCCTAAACTTGCATTTTCTAATTATCTTGTTAATTATATCTGGGTTAAAACCGTTTGCTTCAGCTACATACCGAATCACTCTCTTTTCATTGTCTTACTTATCTTTCTTTAAAGGAAAAGTTATTAACCTGTGTACCAGAAATTGCAGTGCCGCCATTTTGTGTTGTGGACAATGATTCGAGTCATTGGGAATGTATCTGAAAGTGCCCGTGTCTTTCCTGTAAATGTCAAATTCCATTTCGTTCTGTTCGTTCCTTATGGCCAATACATCTAAAAACGGAAACTTTTGTTCTTTTTCTACTTCATATGTGAATTTTATACTCTTACACCTGTTGTTTAGTGCTGAAAGGACATTCTCAATTCAGGTTATCCTTGTATCCACTACAGCGAATATGTCATCAACATACCTGATCCAGACTCTAGGGAAGTAACTGCAGCTTCCGTCTCAAACCTACCCATAAATAGGTTCGCTATAAATGGAGACAATGGGTTACCCATAGCCGTTCCTTCACGCTGTTCATAATATGAGCCATTATATTGAAAACAATTTTAATCCATGCAAAGCTTGGTGAGTTGAATGTATTCTTCAACAGCTTCATTTGCTAAGTTGTTCGATTTCAGAAGATCCCTCACGACGAACGATTAAAACCCGCTTCAAGGAGCATTGTGCACACATGAAATACGGAAGGATAGAAAAATCCAGTGTCGTCCAACATGCTCTAGACAAGGACCACATAAATGAATTTCAGGTTTTGAAAAGCGGTTATATAGGTACCCAAAAAATAGTAAGAAATATTGACTGGTTTGGTTCGATTGTCACAAAAATTAATAATTCTTCATCCGAATTTCGTTGGATACGTTTTGTCCGACAAATGAAAAAATAGAATAACCACTAATATAAGAATTTATTGTAATATTGACACATATCAAAAATCAATTGAAATACCCGATAACATTATAATACTGAATCATACGAATACTTATTTCAAGAAAAGTAAAGCTTGTCAAATGAAATAATAAATAAATGTCAAATGTAACATGATATCTGAAAAAGTTGAACCATTTTCATTCCGGTATGTCGCTGAGCTTATATCCTCCAGGTTTCCTGAATATGCGTTCGTGCATTGGCAATTCTCCTACACAAAACCTGTCAAGAGCTCTCAAGGCTTGGGAACTGTGGCCGGACCCTCTGAAGGCACTGCTCGCTTCCCTGCCAGCAAATTCCAGAAGCAAATCGGCACCTCCCGGATGCTGGAACAAAATGTTGAAGTTGAGTATGAAAATGTAAGACAAATCAGGATTTAAATATTAATAGTAACGATGGTCTGCACTGAAGTATGTATCAGTAACATCGATACAGTAACACAAAATTTTTGATGTGAAACATCTATAGCCGTACGTGAAACCGATTGTTGACGTGGCGACGGGTCGCCATGCGCAAGCGACTGTGCGATTCTCTTCTCACTGATTCGACGTTACGCTTTTTCTCTCGCTACACTGAGACTGGATACCTATTGTGTATATAGTTGTGTTAACTACAGTATACTTAATCTGTGTTCTACTTAATGAATGATTTTTTTAAATAATTAACAATAAAATGTCCGACAGTGATAATTTAGAAAGTGAAAGTGAGAAGCCTCCTGCAAGTCATCGCGTATATTTGGTCAGTCATAAGAGTCAGTGTATGCAAAATCTACTCTCTTGGTAGATTGAAATTTACACAATTTTCGTAGCATATAATATTTTTAAATTAATTATCAATTAATTACATGCCCAGCGATTAAGGAAAGTTCTGCGCCGCTTACAAGCTGCAGGAATAAAAACCCAAAAATCAAAATGTGATTGGTTTAGATCTAGTGTGACCTACTTTTAGGACACAAAATTGATGAGAATGGATTGCATCCGACTGAAGAGCGTATAGAAGCTATCAAGCAGATGCCAATACCGCAAAATACTTCCCAACTTAGTTCGTTTTTAGGCACTATCACTTATTACGGCAGATTCATTGAAAATATTCATGTGAAGTGCGTACCTTTACATCGTCTTCTTAAAAAGAGTGTAAAGTGGGAATGGTCGAATAGAGAGACTGAAATATTCGAAAATTTAAAGCAAAGCTTGACATCAAATGATACCTTAGTGTTTTATGACCCTGAAAAACCCCTGGTTGTCAACAGTGATGCAAGCAATTCAGGTACACACAAATTTCGAGATGGAACTCTGAAACCAATTGCCTTCTCATCAAGATCCTTTAGTGATGTCGAAAAACGTTACTCCACTATTGACAAAGAGGCCATGAGATTAGTATATGCAGTTACCAAGTTCCATCAATACTTATATGGTCGAAGATTCACCCTCATTACAAATCATAAGCCTTTGGAGCGTATTTTTGAAGAGGATCGCCAGACTCCAAAAATAGCAAGCAACCGACTCTTAAGATGGCCATGACGCTAAATAGTTATAATTTCAAAGTTTCGTATCATCCAGGAAACGAAAATTGTCCTGCAGATTCACTTTCCAGGCTGCCCTTGAAAGAAACAGCGAAAAATTCAGCAGTACCAAATTATATGCGCCTATTGTATTTGAGAGTACGGAAGCTTCCTATGTGCAAACAAGAATTAAAAACCCAAACTGAAAAAGACAAGACTATTTCACAGGTTATAAAATATGTACAATCATATTGGCCCGACAAGAAAAACCTCTCTACCGACGTTATCCCATACTATGAAAACCGAGATGAACTGTCATTTGAAGAAAACATGCTTTTGTGGAAAGGACGCATCTGCATACCTTCCATTTTGCAGTCAGAGGTATTAGCTATGTTACACGACGGTCATCCAGGCATTACTGCCATGCAGTAACTGGCAAAACTGTACGTTTTTTGGCCAAATATCAACATTGATATCATTCATGAAGTAGAAACATGTATTTCATGTCAACAGTCCCGAAAAAACGACAGAAATGCACCACTACATTCATGGGGTGTATCTCCAGACCCTTGGTCTCGTCTTCATCTGGACTTTGCGGGACCTTTTGAAGGTAAAATGTGGATGGTACTGATTGACTCCTATACGCATTGGTTAGAAGTTATACCGATGAACAACATTACATCTAATTCTACTATAGACATTCTCCGTTCGATATTTGCTAGACTGGGTTTACCCAAGTTCTTGGTGACGGATAATGGGCCACAACTCACCTCAAGTGAATTTCAATAATACATATTAAAGTAACCCCTTATCATCCGAAATCGAATGGGCTGGCAGAGCGCACTGTTCGCACCTTCAAAGAACGAATGCGAGCCAGTAACCTACAGAAATACCGTAAGAAGATCGACAAACAGAACACCAAATCAACTAATGTTCGGTCGGCATTTAAGAACACGATTTGACCTCCTTAAACCGGATGCAACTAAAAATATGGAATTAGAATAAATTATTCAAAAACGAAACCATGACTATTCAGCTGCTCCACTTCATAATTTTACGGAGGAAGACAATGTATGGGTAAATAGGCCATTAGGAAATGGTTCCGAGCCGGGAAAAGTTGTTAGGCAGTCTGGTCCATTATCATATCTCGTAAATGTTGACGGTATTCTACGCCGCAAACATTGTGACCAAATGCGGAGAAGAATCTCGGATATAGCACCAAATGTAGATGTAAACCCATCGGATATACAATGTGCTGCTGACGAATCAGAAAATCACCCTAATGCTGAACCAAACAAAAATACCCCAAACGAACCATCACCTAGCGACCGGCTTAAACAAAAATATCGACCCAACATACTATGTGAAATTCAATCTGAGGATGTTGAAGAGGCAGTCGACGTAGAAGAGCCCCCAAGTCAGGTGCCCCGAAGAAATCCGTCAAGAAACAGAAGGCTCCCTGTTCATTTCAGGGAATAAGCTTATTAATCGTGGGGGAGGAATGTGGTATCACTGACTGAGTCTGGCAACACTGTGGCGAACAGCCGAGTGACATTCTTCCGCGAACAAAGTCAGTCGATCTGACACGTTGGTCCAAACAGGATTAGATCACTCGTTAATTAGTTGTAAACTGTTTATGAGTACAGTTTTACTAACAGTATAATTCTGTATCTGTTACACCCACCCATCATACTACAAATTTCAATTTCATTCTAATGAAAAATAATGCCCTAAAACACATCAAAAAATCAATTAATCAAATAATTTTCCAATGATGGTGAAATTTATATTGAAACATTTAATACTGATATTTTTAATTCAAGATCTTTTGTAATATATTCCAATAACTAGCTGAGATTCTAGAGATTCACTAGTATATTGAAGCCACATTGAAATTGAATATCATTATTGATGTTTAACGTGTACCAGGCGTGCAAACCGCGAACACGTGTTTCCGGTTATTGGCGCGGTGTAGCCAAGTGCAGAACGGATTCACCAATAGGAGCCTACAATATATATAAACCTTGGGTTGGTCGTGACTGGCCAGTTGAAGAAGCAACTTGGAAACAACTATGTGCTTTCTGTTTGTGAGGTTGCACTGATACTAGGATTTTTGACGTCGAGAAGAACGCATTCAAATGTTCCTTTCTAGAAATGATTCATATTCAGAGGAAAAATAATGTAACGAATAAAAAATATTATGACAATATTAGCTCCTTCCACACAAATATACTTGAATTGCATTTTGATAAATTCAATAATAATTCACCGAACAATTCAATATAATCCATTTAAAATTAATTTCTATCATACTAACTATAGTCCGTAATGTCACATTGCAAACACGGAATTGATAGATTTGTCAAATAACTCATCATGTTCTACGAGTCCCTTGGCACGGTATGTGATCGTTGTGAAACTGTCAGCTCCATGGATTATTAAAAAACATTGGGCAGTTAAAAATTGACACTTGTCATATGTCTATGACATCACTTTTTTCGTGAGTAACCAAGTGCTGTCCGGTACAATTACGATTTCAATTAACATTTAAATGTTTCTACACTGTTTGTCTGCATAAGATGATCGATCAGCTTTGATTGCTATGAAGAAACTAGCTTCTCTCAAACTCACGATAGAAAGTAGTCTCATCCGGTCTATGAAATTGTAACTTTGTTATTTAAATTGTTTACAATTTTTTAGTAGGTCCTGAAGAAGGAAAGGAACATTACTAACTGAAATCTATACATTCAATGCTTTATATTTTCATAATTTGAAGTATCTGAATCTTTACCTACCCAATTTACGTTGAATACGTTTATACAGTTGAAGAATGAATCCATTAACAGTAACATTGAAAAAAAACTCATTGGAATGAATATGTAATGAATGAAATAACCTGAGTGTATGTATCAGTTAAATACCAGTTCAGAATTTTAAAAATTATCAGTAACGGAAAGTTATTCAATTCTCTTTAACCATTCAGATCCGAATTTTCAAATCTATTAATTTCTAGACATTCTGAAAGATTGAGTTTCAAACTTCCCTCATCCAAATTCAACACGTCAAATCATGATTAAACGCATATCCTTCTTCCAGAAGATTGTTTCGAATGTTGAATTGGTCTTTCCATTCAAAAAACTAAGCTCTTTCATTCTTTGGGAAAAGGCTCTCCCGTTTGACCAATATAAAGTTTTAGGCAAGAACCACGAGTCAACTTGAGGTGTTTTCTTCATTGTCGAATATATAGATTTTAGTTAGTACATACGCGACTGAAGAAGCACGTACTGTGTTTTTGTAAAACTGTTTAGGAAAAATCCGCCATGAGGTGTTTCTTGGATAAATTGAATAAGTACTCTCTTCAAAAGAAAATGTTTTCAGGAGAAACTATTTTCATACAATTTCTGTTCGATGATGAAAAATCAGACAGTTTTTTTTCAAGTGACCTTTTAAGAGAAACCTGTACATTTCATTGTTAGTTTCATGAAGTGAAATGAAGATGCTATTCCAATAAAAAATATTATTCTATACATTTACATATATTATATTTTACATTGAAATTTACCTCATCCAAAAAATCAGTCACATCATATACTCTGTCGTATATGATTATCCAACAATCACTAGCCTCATCATGGCAGGAGACTTCCTTGATGGTGATGACTCTTTCTTCCGGGGGAACAGCGGCAGGAGATTCTTGGACGTTGGTGTTCACCTGGACTGCGGCCAAAGCATTTGATAATAATCCGGTAAATAAAGACATATTGTCCATGATCTCAATTCGATACGCCAGCAATTGTCTTTCCAAAAATAAACACAAACACACTTGTTTTTGTTTTTAAAACTCTATTACTATTAACCGTACGGTATATTAATAATTTTCTCTTTCGAGATAAGCAAATAGCGATCTAAGAAGTAAGTCAACTAATGAATGCCGGTCGTTATCACAAACTCTTTAAATACTCTAGTTTGATTGCATGATGAAAGAATCGAAAAGTTTAACCTATTTTTTCTTCTAATTTGGTGTCCTTATCAAATTATTACGCGATATATTTCGCTCGTGCCAATTAAATTGTTTTGGTATCGTAATGCAATTTCGGACGTACATTTGATGTTATTCTAATATTTTTTCCATCAACAGATTGAGATGTGATATTGAATTGAAATCAATACAAGTCAATTGTGTTTTGATTTCTAGAGATAACTGAGTGTCTTTTGAGTAGATGTGGGAAATTCGGGTTGTTGGGTCCCAATTTTGGTTTTTGGGCTTCCTGGCCCCCTTCCAGTGGACTGTATATTATTAAATAATACGAGGTGGTTGAGTAACATACTTTATTCTGTCACACCTTGTTTACATACTTCACAAAACGTCGAATACGACAATTGGTTTGATCAGTTTAATTTGATGTGAGAAACACTATCACTGAGCTTATACGAATGAAAACCTTTGATATTCTCTACAACAAACCTGAAAACCTGAGACTTCTTACTTAACTACAAATACACCTATTATACCTTTCTTACGTTATGTTAAAGCCATACTGCTTGAACGAGGGTACTCTTCAGCGATAGGTGAATAAAACAGGACCCACGCTATTGGTAGGCTAGAAAAAAGTTTTCTCACACAAGTAAGTAGTACCAAAAACAGAAAACAACCCACGAGCAAATTTATGCATATTATCAAATTGTTCCAGTGGAAGACTCTTATGATCGGAATACACTAGCTGGAACCAGAACTTTCTCGAACCAACGCGGTAATTCCAAATATTTAATTACGCCTAATGCCATCTAGCGGGTAGCTGAAAAAGATAGTACATAGTACCACTACTCGCCACTAGATGTCGATAAGTGTCACAATACACAATAATAATTGAAATGCAAAAAAAGCGTAAGTTTGCTTGTGTCACGCTTTTGCTTTTGCGACTATCCTAGTCTAGAAATATAGTTAAGGGCAGAAATTGGCCTTTGGAACAAACTGAAAAAATCATTATGGCCCGAAGGCTTCAAAGTTTGGAGACCCCTGTTCTAAGGCATTACACATATCATTTTCAATTATGTGATTTACTGTTAGGTTAGGTCCAAAGTGAGTGGGTCTATTCGACCTTACACCGCAACCCGCAAGGGTTTATTGTGGCTCACACCTATTCTCATTCGGCCAAACAAACCCAAGTCCTTAACGAAGCCGATTAGTTTGTATGGTGAGTGGTCTTTCAGGTCAGATGGTAAGAGTACGGCCCTGCCGAACACGCTTCACGTATAGAAGTTACTTAAAAGTTGCATGGCATAAAACCCATATGCCGATATCTTCAGCAACTTCTCTAATAGTAATTTAACGATTTTCCATAACAATTTTCTTCACTCTCTCAATATTCTCATCTGTTGTTGATATGTCATTCACATCTTCTCGACTTTCTGTGGAAAGTGTGTATCACTTGTAAACATTTTTCTGAGTCGGATTACAATCACTATATTTCAAGTGTTTTTGAGCACTTAAATTTCATTTTTACGTAAAAGTTGATGCAAATTTTTTGGTCAATTTTTGTCGATAGCTGAAAATCGCCGAACACGCAAAACACACACTTTTATGCCTCACCAACAAACTAACCCTGCTAAAGAGCTTAAACTGTGACTATATGTTCGAGACGATTGTACCAACATTTTAAAAAATTAAAAACAAAACGCTAATAGGATTTATGTACTTTGGGAAATACCATTCAACAGTGAATATTACTTATGATGCACTGTTTGGAACCTTCAGTGTAGTAATGAATATTACTGGAGTTTTTTCCCAACACCAAATCGTTATTTTTAACACCTCGACACGTGTTTCGATCACCAAGTGATCATCTTCAAAGATGAAGATTAAAACTAAGAACTATTGCGAGCTCATCCAATTTATGCTATTAAGGTAACCCATACAGGTAAACCATCCAGGCGTACCAACCATACAGGTATACCAACCTAAATTAATTTTATAATTTTGCCTTATCTATTAAGTTTTTACAATATATGTTTATATAAAACAATTTTCAGCTATATAAAAATTAATTCCACAATATTGCCTATCCAAATTTATTTTTGCAATGTGTCCTCATGTAGTAATCAGTAAACCCAACAACATTATTTTATTTTAACAAGCTTTATAGTATGCTCTTTGGTATAGGTCCGTCATTGTTATTCATAATATTATTGTGTTTACTTATTTCTACACTCTCATAGGCATCTAGTTGCCTGTTGTTGTTAACTTGTCTAACTAATCTTAATGAATTGATGTCTATGGAATGGTTTTGTTGCAACTTTTTATATTCAAAAACGGCTCTGTTAAGTTTTCGTTATTACACACTGTATGTAACTTGTATTCTGAGAAACTTGCTTATATGAAATGTCCGGTGGACTGGCCAGAAAAAGCTAATATGTAATTACTCTTCTACCGCTAGAGGTCAATAACAAAAATATCATGCACTGTAGTACATGATACTATCTGATCTCCGGCGATCTCCTAAATGTATATCTACCCTGTGTGGGAAATAAAGACCTATTATTATTATTATTTTTATTTTCGAAACGAAGCGTCTTATCAGAAATCAGCAAAAGACAAAATATCCTTAGAATAGTCCAAGGAAAAGTCCCTTAAATTTTTGCCGCATGTTTAATAAACGCCCTGTATAGCGTTTGCATCGAACAATGTTTCATATAACGTTTCAGGTACCTACCAATGCAGTACGTTTTTAAATTATTTACTAACATGCCAATTACAAGTGCGACAGGGATCAGAATTAAAAACATGATAATATATTCTATACCGAGAGACTGTGACCCTCCCTTATACTTCAGGGCTAGTACTAGAGTGCCACCAAAATTTAGCCAAAGCCTCGGTAGATAATAACATTATCCTGAGGTGGGTTAAAGGGCACGACAGGAGTGAAGGTAATCGCATTGCCGTATTTTTAGAGTATTAGAGTATTAGATAAATTGCTGAAGATATTGGCATATCGGTTTTATGCCAAGCAACTTTTAAGTAAATTTTGTACGTGAAGCGTGTCACACGAAGTTCATTGCTTAATCTTGACCAAAAAAAAACCATCGCATGAGCGACTCTTTAGCTAAGAATTTCAGGACCCAGTGGCACTTCGGTGTGTTCGCAGGTATGATGCCATGCTTTCTATATTCTAATTTCGTCAAAAGAGTGCTTGTAAAAAATATAGGATAGTATGGCTATATACTGAGCAATCTAGAAGTTATGCCATGCTATTTTGTTATTGAGATATTTTTGAAATGTAGTTTCTTGATTATCGAATAATGCTTTGACGACTTTTTTTCCAATACCTACTGGGTGAATCAAAACACAAAATAGTATTCAATATTTGGAAAAGAAAGGTTTCGCTTTGTTTCTCTCCATCTCTATACAAAAAATATTTTGAGAGGACTTTTTCTTCCAGTTTGTGTGAAAGTGACTTCTTTTGAAACTGTTTGCTTTCTTCCTTTCTTTGGAAGATTCCCACTTTTTTGTATGAAGATGGGAAAGTAGAAAGCCAAAACCTTTTTTTCCAAAAAATTATTCTTTTCTAAAAATAAACCCCTTCAATTTCAACGTTAAATACTTCACTCATACTGTATATTGGCGAATAAAAAAATGCACTGACATTGTTATACGTGGTATGAGGTGATAAATTGTGACGCACAATCTATCAAAATGGAGATTATGGCAGTCAAACAAGCTCTCCATAATAATTTCTACATTGTTATATTATTCTATTCATCGAAAAGAAGTAAAATATTGATTAAGGCTTCTGAAGAAGCCAGCCACTTGTGCTGGCGAAACGTTAGGATGCAGTTCCAAACTACGACGGCCTTCAAACCCAAATGGAGTGAAATATTGTTGGATTTAATATTTTAGTTGCACTGATTGAAGAAAATCTAGCAAACAACTTCAATATAACCAGGGCTAATCGAATTGTAGATTAGTCCTCGAAATTTATTTGGTATTTTATACATGAAACTTGTATTCTGATTCGAACAGCAAAGAAATCCACCATCTACGTTCAACTAGTGGAAAAAGTTGCAAAATGTGTGTACATTTCTCTTATGATGAAACACGTCGCGGAATTTCACGTCAGTCATGTTTTTTTCAATGATCACACAAACATACTGGACATCAAAGTTACGAAACTTTATTACACGCATTTGATGGGCGTAGTTTGAACGTCATCGTTTGTTTCTCTCTGTTGCATTATTATTTGTTTGGAATTTGTTTCTCGTTGAATGTCTATCGTTTGTGACCATAATTTCAAATACCTATTGAAATGGGTATAATAGACTTTCCAAAACAGATAGACATATATCATCGCATATTTTCTTGTAGACCAACAAAGGAAGTACAATATGCAGTGAACTACACACATCGGAAAAGTCTAGGGATATTTCTAAAAATGGCAATATTTTTTTTTTAGATCGCTTTAGGGAAAAAAAAGTTGACGGGTGATTATTAAACGAATGTAACTAAAAGGGATCTGGCGGCATTTTCGATGATATCTTGAAATTTTTGCACAGGTGATATGTTTTTATTTTAATCAATTCACACAAAACTACAATGATTTATACGCATAATCGCTCCGTCCATTGGTGGAAACCGTATGAAAATCCAATCGATAGTTTTTGAGTTTATCACCTCCAGACACACATGCGTGTTCAAAAAATAAGGTCACTGTTTATCCCGGGCTACGTACATGCGATTAGAGATTTTTTAGTTTTACAAGTTGGTACTCTCGATCTCGTCTTAAACATATGTTCATAGTTTCAGCTGCTTTCGAAATGAAAGTATTCCTCAAAAACACTCAATATAATGACAGGGGCGTACGGCGATTGTACTCTGAGTCTGAAAAATGTTTACAAGTGTTATAAGCTTTTCACAGAAGGTCGAGAAGATGTGAAT